CCTTCCTTCCTTCCTTCCTTCCTTCCTTCCTTCCTTCCTTCCTTCCTTCCTTCCTTTCTTCTCTCTCTCTCTTTCTTTTAAATGGGAACTTTTAAAATATGATATGGAATGTAACTATCAGGATCTTGCAAATTAACTTTAAGAATGTTAAAAATAATGTTTTCTTCCCAATTTAGGGTGAAACCTAGCCATGAAAACTTGATTTTCCTAAATGCCAAATGGTGGTCTTTATTGTTTAAAAATTTCCATTGAGACAATGAGAATTCACAGCAATGTAGGTTTCTATTTGGGGGAGAAAACAGTTCAGAAGGCTACCGATAAGCTGCCATGTCTCAATCTACTAAAGAAAAGAAAATTAAACCAAAAAGGGAAACCATGCTAAAAGATACAACAGTTAACAGTAAAAATAAGGCTCATCATGGGTCCATGCCTCAGTGGACAAAGAATATGAAAGAAAGTTAACTTACTGCAAGAGATTCCATTTGCTACGCAGCAAGCATGGTGCAGGAGACAAAGGAAAGGAAAGAAAGTATAGGGTCAGTGTGGCATGCAACAGAGAGCATGGCCCTCTTCCAGGAACAGAGCTGTGAGCAGTGTTAGCTTGGCTGGCCCAGACCTGGCCAGCGCTTGCCAGTGTTGTACCCGTTCAACATGCACAGCGGTCTGGGTAAAAACAAGCGTTAGTGGGCAACGCGGCACTGAACAAACACGGTTTTCAGTCCTTGGGATTTCCTGAGTCTGTCTCGGAGAGCAGAAATAACCTTTGTTTGTTGTTCTTGAAGGTTTGAGTGCACTAATGTGAACGGAACTGAGAAATCTAAAGAACCATCCCCCGGCAGCAACTATAGCGTTACTTTTTTTTTTTTTATTGGATTGCCTTTCATATCAGACATGTATGTGATTATGTGCACATGAGTGTTGGTGCCCTTGGGGACCAGAGGCACTGGGTTCCCACAAGAACTGGAGTTACTGGGAGCTGTGAGTCACCCAACATTCATGCTGGAAACTAAACCCAGGCCTTTGGCAAGATCAGGGCACGTTCCTAGTCACTGATACTTCTGCATCCCTCAGACTGAGAGTGTGTAGTAGGAGGCTTCTGGATAATGCTATCTCAAAGGAGTAAACAATGCATACTCTCAAACAAGCACACAGCATGGCAAACATTTCCATGCATTTTAATTTTTGATTTATTATTCATGAGGATAGTTTTCTCACACGTAATTGTAATATTGTGACAAGGTCTGTGGGAGGAACATGTCCCACAATGTGTGCATAACCAATCATCACACTTACTAACCAAAAAAAAAAAAAAATCTTTATAATTATATTTATTTGCTAAATAATTCCTAAAAGCAATCCAGAACTGGGTATTAACTTAAGATATTGAAAATTGACCAGGCTGGAGAGATAGCTCAATGGTTAAGAGCACTGGCTGCTCTTCCAAAGGTCCTGAGTTCAATTCCCAGCAACCACATGGTGGCTCACAACCATCTGTAATGAGATCTGATGCCCTCTTCTGGTGTGTCAAGGACAGTGTGCTCATATACATTAAATAAATAAATAAATAAAAGAAAATTGACCAAGTATGTCATGTTCTGCTACCATTTCTTAAATGTCACCAATAACATCATAACTACAGAATCAGTTCGTGGAAATTTTTGGTAGATGGGAAAGGGGTGCTACAATCTGAAGGAAAGGCTTAAAGTTCTTTCAACATCAGTTTAGCGTAGGCCTTGTGGAGCACATCTCTATTTCTAGCACTCTGGAGGCAGACACAAGATGACTGAGAGTTTGGGGCCAACCTGGGCTTATATAGTAAGGCACTATCTCAGCCCTTGCCCTAAACATCAGCTTCATTAATTTCAACTATGAGTCCATATATCTTGGTTCAGAACTTTCAAAATGTTTAAGGACCTACCTCACTCCCTTTGTAATCCTTGGAAAGGAAAACTTAAAAAAAAATAACGAACCCCATAACTTTTGGGCTATCAGTTTAATGTAGTGTATTTAAAGACACTGTCCAGCGACGAACAAAATCGTCAACTCATCGCCAGTTGCTACTGGCGATGCTTCGGATGCTATTGAAGGTGTACCTAGACTCCCACCTCTGACTCCTGGTCTCCTTCCCTCCGCCTATTATAAATATCACATGGCCACGACAGGTGTGCAGTGACTGTAAATTTACTGAGTTTTTTTTTTGGTTGTTATTGATTTTGGTCATGAATCTCTCTAAAAGCTTTGAAAGAGAAACACCTCAAAGCCTGTGTTGTACATTACATATGGCTGAGGAACCGGAAAACATCATGTCTACAAGTTTCATACTTTGGTGCTGACATATAATATACTATCAGATTAGGTACACAGGGCCAGTTTTTAAAAATTACTTTGTTATGTGTATGTATGCTCATGTGTATGTATGTATGTATGTATGTATGCATGCATGTATATATGTGGCTATGTGCATATGCTTTCAGAGGCCAGAGGCGTTGGAAACCCTAGAGCTGGCCTTACAGGCAGCTGTGAGCCACCTGATATGGGAGCTGAGAAACGAACTCTGGTCCTCTGTAAGAACAGTCAGTGCACTTAACCACTGAGCCATCTCTCCAGCCCTGCACAGGCCAGCACTGAAGACTCTTGGGGCTTCATCAGATGGAAACATGATGTTTAGTAAGCACAGCAGCAGGTCCGTGTTGCTAGTGTGGCCTCTGCTTTTGGTGTTGTGAAATGACAGGCGTGCTGGGTGAAGATCATTGTTTTTATTTACAAAACAATGACGCCGTAATCCAAGGAGCTCATCAAGACAGTGACCTCTCTGGTCAGTGAGGGCAAATGAACTTTCTTTGCTAGCTTGGGCTTGGTCCTGAGGATTTTCACCAGGTTCCTCCTACTCAGCTCTTAGGGCACAACTGTGTGTTTCTTGGGTGATGGCCAACCCTGATGAGCGTGCCTAGCATTCCTCCTGAGCCCTCCTTTTTAGGTGGGCTAGTAGCAGCAGGCCTTTGTCCTCTTGGATTCCTTCACTAGGCCACAGACTAGACCTCATTTGCATTTAGGGTTTCAAAAAGATAGTAAAACTGCCTTTCTGAGGAACTGGCTCATGGAAAATGATGATTCCTTTTATCTTGGGTTTTCCTTATATCCTTTTTTTTTTTTTTTAAATAATCCCATTAGAAGTCTTTTTAAATGTATCTGTATTTGGGCAACTTAAGGTTCTTTTGACTATGCTGTGGGGTGGGGACAGATGTCATTGTTTTATACGGTCCCAAGGATTTTAGAAATTTCCCTAAAACCTTTTGACAAGCTTGATTTTGGAAATGTGTTATCTGGACTGGCTGGGTGAGGGTGGGGCCTGGTACATGACTAGGGAGGGGGTGGCACGAATCCAGACGCTAAGAAGAAATCCTAAACAACTGAGAGGCAGGAAGTTGGCAAATTGCAGAACAGAAGAAAGCACAGTGGCCTATCCCTGTGAGCCCATCACTCTGAGGGGCTGAGGCAGGAGGACTGCTGCAAGTTTGAAGTCAGCCTTAGACTTGAGATTTTAGTCCTCCTGCCTCTGGATCCTGATTGATAGAATTATAGGCATGCACAGCTATGCCTGGCTTACTATATCTCAGCTAATGGCTGAAAGTCACATGTGTGAGCTAAATGGGATAAAGTTTAGATTTTATGTAGAAAGTAACTTAGGCTACTGATGAATTATTTTGTGTCTTAGCATGTGAGTGCATGACATCTAAGCAGCCAGGAATGCTAGTCTTAATACTAATTGGGTCTGATACAGTGACAACTCCCTCCCTCCCTTCCTTCCCTCTTTCCTTCTTTGTGTTATTTTTCAATTTTTGCAGTGCTGGGGATTGAACCCAAGGCTTTGCACTTGCTAGGCAAACTCTCTGCCAACAATCTACATCTTCAGTTGATGGTCATTTTGTTTGTCCAAAAGACAAAAAAAAAATGTTTTTTTTTCAGTGTTGTTCATGAATATCTTTCAAAGTTAAAAACCTCAAAGCCTATGACACACATAATACATTTTGAGGTACTAACTAGTTTTTAAAGAAAACTGTAAAGAAATCCTAGCAGACAAATCTTTAGCCAGGATGGGAGAGAAGAGACCGGAGAACAGTCTGGTTCAACATTTAACCTGTTCAGGTTGTACAAGGTCATAGGTGGCAGCCCATATTCCTGTGCTGTATCAAGACAGGAAAAACGGCAGATGAGTGTTTTTGCAGAAAGATCCTAAAAGCTGGAATGATGATTTGAGGACAAGATGCGCTGAGTGTAAATTCTTATGCTTGCACTGAGTCAGAAATACAGTTTGCATGTGAGTATGTCAACTGAAATAAATTCTAACAAGCAAGACATCTTCAGCTCTCATGGGGATGCTTCTGCAGAGCCGGAGAGATAAACAGTATTTGCTACTTTACAGGGAAGAGGCTGAAAATACTGCCAGCAGGGAGCAGAGCTGGCAGGAGCCTTGGGTTCCTGACCTACGTTTACGTGAGCTTCAACCACAAGGGGGAGCTACTCTAGAACAGAAGGACCAGTGGAAACCTGTTTTTAATGGATGAGAAATTGCAAATCGTGAAAGGTTTTTCTGTCTTGACTGATAAAGGCAGGGGGTGGGGGATGACCCCCAAACACCATAAAGTAGAACAGTGCGTGCACGTGAACAGAAATGGTCTTGCGAGACAAAAGCAAACTGCTCACCTGTTCTCTGTGCTATTTAGCGTATACTGTATGTCACCCTAGAAAACTGCGAATACAGTCACCAGGAAGCCTAAGTCAATAGCTGGCCTAAGACTCCAAAAGGATTAGATACGAGATTAAAAGCATCTTTCCCAGACAACCAGTTGTTGCCCAAGTTCCTGGTGACCACTGTGTCCATGAACCAGCAAGATATCTGAAACTCCATGCTAGTGCCAGATGGGGCAGACCTAGTTGGTTTTACTAGCAGGCTAAAGGCATCAGACTAGATGCTGCTCCCCCCCACCTTTTTCTCTAACCACACAATCAGTCTTCTATTCCCCCCTCCTATGTGTGTGCTCTGTCTCTAAGAGTAGGCTAGAAACAAATTGGAGACATGGAATATGGCATTTACAGCTTGTCACTCTGCTTCAGCTTGTCTCAAATGCACAATGAAAAATTCCTATTGCAGAGGGATGTAGTGGTGCTGACTAGGGTTTTTGTTTGTTTGGTTTTTTTTGTTTTGTTTAGTTATGGTTTTTCAACTTGACACAAACCAGAGTCACCCGAGAGGAGGGAACCCTGAGTTGGGGAATTGCCTGCGACAGATTGGCATGTGGACAAATCTGTGGGTTATTTTCTTGATTAATGTGGGATGGCCCAGCCCACTGTGGGTGGTGCCATCCCTAGGCAGGTGGCTGGTCCTGTGTTATATAAGAAGACAGGCTGAACAAGCCATGGGGAGCAAGTCAGTAAGCAGCATTCCACCATGATCTCTGCTTCAGCTCCTGCCTCCAGTTCCTGCCTCCAGTTCCTGCCTTGTAGCTCCTCAGTGATGGGACTAAACAATGTAAGGTGAGATAAAACCTCTCCTCCTGAGTTGTTTTAGTCATGGTGTTCATTATGGCCAGAGGAGCAAACTAGGACAGTTATAAAAGGGCAAATGAGGTCATATTCACACAGTACCTGAAGGTATTACTCTATCTTTATTCTCAAGCCTTTACTGTATACCTAGAGCTGCCGCATGGAACTGACTGACTGAAGATGGATTCCATCTTTTAATCTTTGTTTAGTAAAATACACAAGAGATAAGGAGCAACACGTATGGCAACAAGTACCGGGAGCCACACAACCATGGTTCAGTTAAGGGAGGTCACGAGGTGAGTGGAAACCAAGCAGTAGAAACGAAGACTTCTGGAGAAGTAAAACAGTGACCTGAGTGTTCTTGAAGGTAGGATGATTTAGCTTTAGCTCCCACTTATCTGTAGGGCTCGCACTCAACAAACAGATCAGACGGTTGGGTTCAACCTGTATTCCTAATATAAGTCTGTAACGGACTAATGTATTCTCCCAGCTGAATCTTCATTACTGTGTGTAATAGCATTTGATAACAGAGTCAGCGCTTAGATAACTAATCATTTTTATACACTGTAAACAAGCTATACTATAAACTGGGCTAGGCTTGTGCTTATTGTAAGGTCTAGCCTGGTAACTATTTTCTGGCCTGACTTTGGCCAGCAGGATGAAGTAAAAGGGTAAACAAGCTGGAGCCAGGAGTAGGTCCTTTTAGGTGGCCAGAAAATGTGAAACCTAGTAATGTTTTATTTTTTAAAAGTTTCCACACTGGGTGTGGTGGCACGTGACTTTACCCCCAATCCACAGGATGCAGAGGCAGGCAGGTTGCCATGAGTGTGAGGCCAACTGGTCAACATAGCAAGGTTTAGGACAGTTGGGGCTACATAGGGAATCCTGTCTGTCAAAAAAAGGGGCGGGAGGGCAGGAGGAGTATTTAGATCAGCTGAATCAGGACATCACAGGTGCACACATCGGGAAGGATGCAAACTCTAGGATGATTCTGGACTCTACATTTGAGTAAGTATTGTTTGTGAAGGAGTTACCTGGTAGCAGTATTACACACCTATATTGAAACTCTCTAGAAATGTGCAGGGCAGTGGTGGCACACGCCTTTAGTCCCAGCATTTGGGAGGCAGAGGCAGGCAGATCTCTGTGAGTTCGAGACCAGCCTGGCCTACAGAGTGAGTTCCAGGGCTACACAGAGAAACCATGTCTTAAAAACAAAACAAAATAAAAGTCTTAGGAAACTACAGACTGGAAGACAAATGTGTTCCCAGAGCAAAAACTAATAATCCTGTCTAAGATTTCTCAGCCTTACAGTTGCTTTTTATTTTATTTTATTTTTTGCTGTCCTTTGGTATTGGATTACTAGTGTTAGGTGGAAAAATGTCACCCCAAACCTTACTGGGTTCTTTATACATTGATACAGCCTGTTTCTTACGTGGGAGGGTGTGTGATCTGAAAAGGCTTCCCAGTGGTGATGTAATTCCAGCGTGACACCTGCTGCACATAGACTGGGTCATGGTCTTCTAGCCTCCTTCGTGCCCCCCTCACGGCTTCAGTTTGTCCGTACAGTACCTGCAGCCTAGCAGCCTCCATCTGATCTCTTCCCTGCTGCTTAAACTGCACATTGGTTACCATGGCTGTAAAGGGACCAGCCCTCACAGCCAGGCTTCTGCGATGTCTGTGGAGGCTTCTCAGGTTTGCCTTGTCTCTCTGCACTTGTGGGTCCCACCGCCTCTCTTCAGTTCTTAGAACATCTCAATCCCTTCTGCCTCAGACCTTTATAGAAGCCTTTCATCCTTACCCACTTCCTCCATTACCTCTAGCTCACAGTTGACATTTCTTCTGTCTCACACAACAACCAGGAAGCCTTCCCAGGGCCACCTGCTGTTTAATGCCATGGTTCTGCCTTGTGTGCTAACAGCTCACTTTTCTTACCACAGGCTACGCCTCAGTGATGCCTTGATTGTCACCTGTCTCCCTTACAACAAGGAGCCTCTGGTGGAACCATAAAACCCAAATAGGAGGCTCTTAAAGCCTAATTCTAGAGTAAATAGTTTTATCTCAGTCCTCCTCCCAGTTTCCAGCATCATGTATATGTAGTCAGCTGCTGGTATGTGGTATGCATTTAGGGCTGTTCTAAGTGGGAATTCTTGTTAGCAGTGTTTGGGGGAAAGTCAATAGAAAACTTTACTTTAATGAACTGTTTCAATGAAGGAACTAATCAGTCCTTCAAGGAGTGGTGGAATGTGCGTTCATATTCTGGATTAAGAAAGGCTCATTAGGAAGTGATTAGCACGATTTAACAGCATCTGGCAAAAAGGTTAGTTTTATGTCACTATTTTTCCAGAAAGGAGAAAACAAAAGTCACCCCAGTCCCATCAATACACAACCATTCATGATATAGATGCACACACAACCATGCATGGTATG